CCGCCAATACGATTCCCGTTGCATGAGCTCGCGCTTGAGCTCGGAAATAATATATTCCTTTGCTCCTTCATAACTGCACTTCTGGAGCAGGGTGAGAAATGTTTTGTCTATCCCCTGTTAGCTCTGTTTTAGAGAAGCGCATCGGTGGACATACTGTTGAAGGGAATTTCGTTGATGCGACCTCCAAACAACCTTTCTAGAATTGTGAGTAATTTGCAGCCGAAGTCAGCAGCGTCGAGAAGGCGATCAATGTCGATGTCATTAGCTAATTCGGCAGAAGAGCCACTCTTCTGGTAGAATTGTCTGACTCCTTCACGAATCTTGGAGAGCAACTTGTTGTAGAATTCGTCCCGAAACGGGTTTCGTCTTTCCCGTCGACGTATTCCAAGTCGTTTTTGGCACCTAGCTCTCAAGAAATTCATGACTACCAGCAAATGGAACCTCAAGAAGTAAACGGCATTTTCCTGTGGCATATTTTCCTGCGTTAAAGCATCCTCCAAATACCTGTCGAAAGCATCAAAAACACGCCTAGACTCTTCCAGCGCATCCAGTGCATCCGTTACGGTTTTCTCGTTATCATTACTCGGAAGGGTGAACTGTTGTTTCAGTTTGATAACGTGTTGTTCAGACGGCAAACCCTGACTCCAATCATTCCATGTGGCTTGGCATTTCTTGCGAGGTTGCTTGAGACGTCTGTTCGAACCATGATGGTCCTCACACCCTCTTGGCAGGTTTTTAAGAAAGTTTCTCACGGCGTCCTGGACCCTGGCATGTGGCCCTTTTGTTTCTGCCATGATCTTAAATAAAGGTCAACGACGATGTCGGGAAGTACGCTGGTCGAGGGCCACAGCGCTGTACTCTTAGCACCGACAGCGCATTTTCGATCGAAATGTGTGGTGCGCAAGTAGCAAAATTGGGCTCCTGTCCTGGAAATCTCACGTCTCCGCCACCATGTAATTTTTCTTGTGGCTGAACCAAGCCACATCCGAACAGTTAGCGGAGCGGCAAGGGTTGGCAAAGAACGTTTCTTGAATTGGGGCTGCTTATAGGATACGTAGAGACAGGAATTGAGATTTGGCCTCTTCAATCGAAAAGACTATCAATGGCCCTTTATGTCATGTGCTGAGGAGAAATATTATGAGGTGGCTAGACATAGGTAAAATTGAAAGTGGGCTGATCCTTGATTGAAGTTATCAAGCCAAGTCATTGGCTTTGTATGTACTAAAACTAACTGCCTGCATGTCAAGATCAAGTCACTTGCTCAAGGTAACAGTATTCCAACGAGTAGTTATGCAGTTAATTAGTTTTCATATATTGATGGTGACTATGATTTCAATTTTTTATCAACATGTAGGAAGTGGAGAGTTCTCATTTTGTCTAACTGTCCAACCAATTGTGTCTCGTGACACTGCAGCCTCCGATTGGAACTTGGAACACCATTGGTATAGTTTGCATTTGATAGATATAGGCACTGTACCGGACCAATAGTTGATAGCTATCACTGTCGTTGGCAGAAAGTCCCGGGTAACTGGATTCTTGCTGGAAACTCTCTGGGCCAGCCTGAACCCTCTATAGATAGCTTCGGGCAGCGCGCTGCCATAGCTTCGTGGCCGCTGACAAACTCAAAGAGTGTTTGTTGTGATAATATCAAGATAGAGAAGTTCGGTCGTGCTCGCTACAACTAGAGGTATGATGGAGCAGAGTCCTTGCCAATCACATAAGTCACTAATTATTAGACGGCTCGTATTCGTTGGCATGGACATAACAAGTGCATCGTATTGAGATGTAACTGAATTGATAGAAGCTTCTCTAGACCAAACAATATTAGCTCTAGGATAAGTGCCTTCCTTAATTTTCCGTTTTTATTCCTTCTTTGTGTTCAACCCCGTTATTAGGTGCGCTCGTGGTGTTGGGGGACTCATTATTGCCTTGACTGTTGGCTCCGTCCCAGCGGGTGGTGCCAGTGCTCGATTCCGTTCTCTTTAGTTCGGTTTTGGTCAGAGGAGCGGTAACTTCGAGCTTTTCCCACTCTTTTTCTTCTGCTTCGGTCATTGGTTGGGAATCCGTATTGTTGACACTCATGGTGAGGTTGGGATAGTGCCTAACAGGGATGTCAGTGGGCTATTTGCTAGGAAAGGGCACTTCAAGGAGAATTACAATAGATTATTTTGGAGGCACTTATCGGTGATGATGGTTGCGAATGATTTCTTCTGGCAACCTCGACGTTTATATACATCCTACACGAGGCATACAGAGCTGCGTTGTAAGCTGGTTACTAGAGCCCATGCGTTGGGACACGCACGATTAATTAAATTAATCTGACTGAGCAGCATGAAATCTTTGTTTGTAGCATCGGTTGTGACCCTAAGACATTCGTTCGATGCACAATATGCACGTTAACATTGTACTCTCACGACAGGCTAGGACAGAACGGCGGGCAGAATGCCTCTTGTGC